TTTTTTTTTTTTTTTTTTTTTTTTTTTTTTTTTTTTTTTTTTTTTTTTTTTTTTTTTTTTTTTTTTTTGAGAGAGAGAGAGAAGGAGAAGGAAAAAGTTCATTACTGAAAATTCCAATCGTTTGTACAATTCCTTCAAAAATCCTGGTAGTTTGGCATTTGGATGATGGACTTGGGAAATCCATCCAAGCGGATCACTTCAGAAAAAAGCTTGGCAACAATCATTTGAGCCATATATAAATGCCATAGATGGTTGAACATGAAGTGAGCATATCACCCGCGACAAAATTAATATCCTTCTCATCCAAACACCATTATATAGTGAGTTTGTCCTAGATTAGTTCAAGGGGAAAAAAATTGGTTGTAATCACCCACCAGATGATAATCTTAGGACTTAGTGTCTTTTTGCACCTCTCACGCCAGCCACTTACAACAATCCTTGTTCAAGATAAAATTGGAAGAAGATGGCTACACTTTCACTGCACTCAAATACCCACTAGCTGGATTGTATGGTAGCTTTATAATTACATTGTTACAAATAGAGACAATGAAGTACAGCTAATCAACTCTTATAGGTTGAGTATCATTATTGAGGGTAAAACACGGGCAGGCTCTGCTAGTGGAAGACTGAAACAAGGGCTAAACCAAGGGTACTGTCGCTTGGCAAAAATTAATCTGCGCAAAGCTAATGTCAGAGTTTTGAAGAGTCACTTTTTTTATAACTTCGCTGTTGCAATTTTATATGCTTGTACCATGACGCTCAAAGAATTTATACAAGGAAAGGCAGAGGTGGTAACGGTGGGTTATAGTGCTGCCCACAAGTTCATCACTCAAAAATTGGTAAAAGAACTTCTTCCCCCTGTGTGATGAAGCGTTTGGTCATTTGGCTATTAATAGGACCAAACAATAAGGTTTTCCAACAATCTTGAAAGGATAGCGTGATCTTCTCATTTGGTCAAGCAACCAAACGACAATCAGAGAGTGGCAATCAATAATTGAGTTAACGAATCCCAAAACCATTATCTAACTGGTTGAAACTTCGAATTTTAAAATGAAAGTGTGGATCTTTTAATCAAGGTTCTTTTTGTTAGCCAGGAAAGAGAACAACAGCAACATAAAGGAATTAGAAATAAAGGGAAAAGATTTGCTCGCAAGAAATAACCAAAAGATCACTGCAAAAGATATTCCAAAAACTGAAAGTATGTCCAAACAGCAATCGATCAAAATATTCATTCAACAAAAGTGGTAAAATTTGGTTCTTAATCGATGAAAAACTAAACAAAGACCTTACCTGAATTGCAGTGAACGAACTATTCGTAACCCAATAGACTAGACTACCCTGCCAAAGAAACAATGAGGGAAAAAAGTTCAGTAAACTCTGGACCAAATGGGCAGGGGCAAGATGTCAGTATACTGGCACAAAGATTGAGAAACAACCAGAATGATCGTAATAAGAACTGTCAGACAAGGTAAAAAGGAGTAACAATTGAGCAAAGAAAAGCTATATAGATACGCCAGCTCATATGGGTTGTGAGGTAATACCATTAGGGTAAATTGGTCAATCATTAAAAAAGAATTAATAATAAAAAAAAGAAAAATAAGTGGAGAGATTAACTTAGATTCTGTTAGGATCAGTTGGCTAGTTCTTCCTTTCTGTAGGGACGTCAATCCCACTAAATTCTAATTTAGTATTCTTTAGTCCGACCCTCTTTAATCAATTATTCTTCGTTTCTTAACAAAAACAAAAATAAGAAAAATAGAAATACTAATTGCTCCTGCATGAGCAGAGGTGATCAAGCAAGATAACAACATATGAGGGGGGGTAGTAAATTTTTTTACCCTTTTTATTACAACGATGAGCATTTCATTTCTTGTCGAAAAGAAAGCCTTTTTGTGACCCATTGACCTAGTAGGGATATCTCATCTCCATTTTTTTAATGAATATATTCTCTAATTTTTTTCCCACCAAAAAGAAAACCCTTCAGACATGTAACATCCATTTTTTAGAAAAAAATTACAAAACAATCGCCATTGTATCAACTAAAAATTGAACAGTGTTCCGGCTCAGAAAAAAGAGTTGAAACAAAGTACACAGATAAAATACGAAAGCCTCAACTAAATGCTTCTTAAAAAAGATATAGAAGTCCTGGTAGACAAATTTTAAATGAGTAAAACATGTTAAATCTATGACGTCAAAATGCTTCCAGTAAATACTACAAGAATGGAGAAATCACATACAAAATTAAAAAAATACCACTCCAAAATATAATCAAGAACAGAATTACCTGAGGAATACAGTAACCAATAAAAAACAGTGGTACAGTCAGTAGATTCAAGTAGAGTTTGTAGTACTGCAGAGACATAGAAAATATATTTATCAGTTTGAAATAAATACTAAAGCAATGGAACAAAAAAATAAGCATGATTTAATGAGGACATTTTTGTCAATATTGAGAATTTAAACACTCACTTTAGCTAAAATGCCAAATATACCAGTTGCTTTTTCCAAAGATGATTTTCTGAAAGACACCTGGGCAAAGTCAAAAAAGAAATTAGCCACAAACACATACCTGTTAACAATGAAAATTGAAAATGTGGAAGATTCTTCGACAAGATTTGAAAAACCAGAAAACCTATATTGCCCCAGAAAAATGTACAATATAGAAACAATAAGTCAAAACAACATAGTTGCTTTCATGATGACAATCAACAATGTGCTAGGCAAGTGAAGATTGAAGAAAAACAAGAATTTTCTCTTGGCATACTGCTGATAACTAATGAAAGTTCATGCATGTTTGTAAGACCATACAATGCTACAAAACTCTATGGAAGTTTCTGCTATATTCTCTTCAATGTCCTTCCACTTTTCCTTTTCAAACATCCACATAGCTAATGCAGCAACCATTCCAAAAATCTAAGGTTTCAATGCCTCTTGAACCCTTAAGCAATGGCACCAGGTAATCTTCACATGCCTTATAAACACTCAAGCTAGATCAGAAGCATCTAACATACTACCCTATTCAAAGAAATGTGTTGTACATGTTTGTGCTTGAAAACAAGAAAAAATTGGAATACCTGAACATTAATGAAGTGCAAACTGGCAACTAGAAGTGGAAATATGGGGCCTAAAACTCCATGTGGATACTCTGTTAGATTTTGAAACCATAAAGCACCACCCTGCAAATAGTGCACCACAAACTTAACGCTTCACTAATTCCAACTATAGAGACATAAAAAATAAAAATAAAATTCATAGATATTAAAAAAATGAAAATAATGCAACTACGGCAGCTTGTTGATCAAATCAAAGCTCAGAAATGAAAGGAATTCCAGGAGGCATCTAGTATGATAGGATGACCAGCTAAATACATCAAACTACAAAGCCCAACACATCCTTGCCCTTGATTGCACTTTTCAAGTGGTTTAATGAAAAAGATAGCTTTTTCAGCCTCCTTGGTGTATTGTGTAAGAATCATATTGATTTTTTTTTTTCAGTATTTAATATATCAGCCTTACACAGTCAAATCCAGGATGATGATTAAGTGACATTTTCCGGATAGTAACCATCCACAATAGAAAGCATGGGACCTGCACACAAACATTTAAAAGGAAAGACAAAAAGACAAAAACTTTCATCAGAAAATCTAAACATAGAAAAAGAAAAACGGAACAAAAGGATCCAAGTGATCAAATAACAAAAACTATTAAACTACGCAATTACAGGGAACAAGAGCTCCAATTACGAAAAAAGGAAATAAAGGATAATCTTAAAAATTGTAGATTGAGCCTAGCCAAGCCCAAACCTCATTCCAAGACATCCTCCCCCCTCATTTAGCTCCTCAAGACCCTCCTAATTTCCCCAGCCAAATATTCCAAAGAACAGAAAAGAAAGCAGTATGCCAGAGTTGCCTCCCATCTCAAATGGGAAGATGGTATACCACCTCATCCATCAATTCATATCCCAGCACATCTGCTATGATCAGAACACCAAAAGTTTCCATAAAGCCATCCCAAATCATCTAAGCAAACTAACAGTCCCACCAAACATACTCCAAGTATTTGAGACCTTATAAAGGTTACCATCACAGCCCTAGAAACAAAAGATGATTTCTGTGGAAGACCTTCTAGGCAAACAACTGACCTTAGGAATTTGTTCCTTTCCAAGCAAAGCAAAATAAAGAGAAAGCACGGGGCAAGACCATGCAAAATAAAAAGTATAGCGATCATCATTACCAGCTCTTACAAAAAAAGCTATCCAAGAAGCCAAAAATATTAACTATCCATTTTTTCCTTAAATTTTTAATTTTGAGCAAATTTTACAAGTCAATAATCGTTATCCAGAAAAACAAATATTTTTGCGTACTTTCTTGAGTATTTCAAATGAAGATGGACTACCCCTTTCTAACCTTCTCTCACTCTCATCAGGAAAGGACATGAAGTTTTCAAACATTTTTGAACTTCTAGACAAAATGGACACTGAATGATTATCATTTACAAAGACAAAAAAAATAGTTTAAAGTAGAACTTTGATGAACATTAAAGTAGAACATTTTTCCAGAAACAATATAGAATCTAATTAGATTGGGATCACCTGAATGGAAAAGTATGCAACGAACCACAGAAATGATGGGCATCCAATTGCCTTTCTTTCCTTTCGGAAAAGAGAAAGTTGGTTGATGTAACTCCGTCCTGATAGAGGTGGCGGCAGTGGAGGTGGCACTTTGAGAAACGCAAAATAAAAGTCCAAATAAATTAATTGTGTTATACAAGTGAATTACATTGATGCATAAATAACGTAGTAATAAATTGTAAGAAGGATTGCAATTATTGTGATTTTTTCTAATATACTAATTGTGGGGCAACATCCTTGAGGTTTTCAATGTTGGGAAGGATAATGTTTCCTTATCTCATCTCTAGTTTTCCGACAATATAATTTTCTTCTATCCTTGTAAGAAGGAATCCTTTCTTAAGCTGAATCAAAACTTATCGATTCTTTAGGGTATTTCAAAACTTTTCCTTGAGGTTTACAGGGTATTATATCATTCGAGAGTTCAACAACCCAAGTCAAAAGCTTTAATCAGCCAGGTAGCAAAGAGAAATAAATCCATTCGTTATTTTGGAAACTTACACTTAGGAAACAACTCTCCAATCCTTTTCAACTTGTTGAGTTGAACAATGAGTAAGGGCAGCAACGTGAATCTGAGAGCTAAAGTTGACGAGGCAATAACTGCCCACCTGAAATTAAAAGGATCAGCGAAGTAAATTAAAAACTTATTATTTCCAAGGACATCAAAACTGAAGCTTGAATCTTAATACAAAACACCGTACACAATCTTTCCTCACCCCTAAAAGATCAAACTTTTAAACAACGAGAACATTAAAATTTCGTGCATATAACTCAAGCCTACACGCGGAGTATAACAATGTAATGGGAGGAGTATTTTATTGATATTCTTGATGATCATGCATAGGCTATAGATGCTCTCTTGAATAGATGAACTTGAGGAAGGCAACAGAAAACTACGCGGCTAACTTACATAACAAAAGGTGGTTTACGACAACAGATACCAAAAGACTAACCGAGCTAACTAAATTGTAGCAACGCTAACAACAATTAAGTACACAATACATGGAGATGGAAATATTTGGGGGGAAAAAATGAAAATGTAATATTATAATGAACTTCCACCACACCAAAGGCAGAGCTTGATCGTTATCTACTGTGGCGAGAAAAACAGTGACAGGTCCGTTAATTTGGCCATATCAAATAAAAGAAAAACAGTATTGAAATTGAGTGAGTTATCACTACTATGTATAAAACACGATTCAAAGTGTTCAAATTCGAGATGGAAAAGATAAAAACCCATACGCCGCGCCGAACATTTTTCTCAATTTTCCTCCGGAACCATATAAGAAGCATTAAAATGCTCACCAGGGCAGTCCGGTATACTGATGAAACCCATCCAGCATCGAAGTCAATTGCTGAGTCGGTAAAATTGAGTCCTCCACAGCAGTCGCATTAATGACTTCCTCAACAACTCCTCCAAGTTCCAAGTCTTGAATCCCTGACTGGATGCCCGTATCGTCGTCGGAGAGGCGGCTTGCAAAAAGGTCAGTTCGTTGAAACTCCGAATCATCGTCAGAACGAGTCCACAAGGACCGAGAGGAGAAGGCGGTGAGAGCACCAATAGAGCTTATATGATGATCAAAGCGATGGGTTGGCCTGGGGAATGAGTGATGATGAGAGGTTGGGAGTGTGTGAGCTTCGTGAAGTCGAGAGGCGATAGGATAAGAAAGGGAAGCGCAGGAGTAAACACGAGATGGACGAAGACGGCGAAGGTTAGTGCAGAGCTTGGACGTTGCCATTAGAGGGCGGAGAAGACATGGAACCAGGAAAAGGGATTCTACTCCAAATAGTTTTGCGCTGAATTATTAAAAATGTTAAATTAATAAAAATCCCGAAAATTTCATTAATATTTTTAAAAATTTAATATTTTTCAGGGAATGACTGTGATCACAAGTAAAGAAGGAGTAATGCTTGGTTCTTAGATTCTGGTTGCTCAAACCATATGTGTGGCAAGTGAAGGTCTCTTTTCAAGCTCGGACAAGACATTTTCCCACATTGTCAAACTTGGAAATAATACAAGTATGAAAGTTATGGGAAAGGGTGCAGTAAAATTAACTTTGCATGGGGTTCGTTGCACTATTAGTAATGTGTATTGGGTACTTAAACTAAAGAATAATCACTTGAGCATTGGATAGCTATAAAAAAAAGGAATAGCAGTGCTGTTTAAAGATGGTGTAGGTAGCATTTATCATCCACAAAAAGGAAAAATAGTATAGTCAAGTATGAGTGCAAATTGGCTGTTTATTTTGCGTACTGAACCATCTACCACAATAAATGAAGAAAGATGCCGCCAAGTTTCAAATACGGATCAATCAACACTTTGGCACCATCGTTATGGTCATCTCGGCTACAAAAGCTTGTGCACCTTGAAACACAAAAACATGGTGAAAGGACTGCCGCAAATTGTAGCTCCAAACACCACCTGCGAGGCATGTATCAAAGACAAGCAACATCAGACTCCATTTCCAAAAATAGGTAAATGGAGAGCAACGGAAAAATTGGACTGGAAATTGATAAGAACATAGCTGAAGGAGGAGAAATAATAGAGAAAACGACTGAACTGGTTGCTGAAACAATTGAACCAGTTACTGAAAATAATTTTCCAGTAACTATAACATCAGGTTTGACAATAAGAGAGGGGAGAAATCGATAGCATATTATAATTTCGGTGAAGGCTTATCTAAAGAGGATGAAGAAAATATAACATTCTTGATGATTTCAGATCTTGTGAATTTTGAGGAAGTTGTCAAAAGCCCAAAATGGAGATTGACTATGGATGAAGAAATCAAACACGAAATTTGGTGGTTCTACCCGCTAGAGCAAAGAAAATAGGAGTGATTTATAAAACCAAGTTAAATGAGTCTGGAGAAGTTGATAAATACAAATCAAGATGGGTTGTAAAAGGCTACACACAAAAGTATGAAATTAATTATACATGTGGCTAGAATGGATACTGTGAGAATGATCCTTGTTTTTGCTGGCCAAAAAGATTGGAAACTCTATCAATTAGATGTTAAATAAGCTTTTTTTTGTATGGCGAGATAAAAGAAGATATTTTTGTTGAAATGTCAAAAGGCTATGAGAAAAAAAGAAGTCAGGAGATGGTGTACAAACTCCAAAAGGCTCTCTACGGATTAAAACAACAGCTAGAACCTGGTTTAGTCGAATAGAATCTTACTTCATCGGGAGGAAGGGAGGTTGATTTTTTATTGAAGGATAACTATGCTTTTATAAAATAAAAGTCTTACAAAATAGAATAACAAATAAACACTACGGCCTATTAATTAACTATAACATTACAAACAAGTTAGAAACTCCAACAAATTCCTCCCTCTAAACTGAAGTATGCTGAAACAACATCAGTTTACTCAAGTGGTCGAACTCCAAGCATGCCTCTGAATTTCATAAATTGATCTAGCTTAATTGGTTTAGTCATTATGTCTACCACTTGATCTGCATGCCTTTGAATTTCACAAATTGATCTAGCTTAATTGGTTTAGTCATTATGTCTACCACTTGATCTTCAGTTTCGCAGAACACTAACCTCACAGTCTCATTAGTTGACAAATTACGCAAGTAATGATACATGACATCAATATGTTTTGTCCTTCGATGCATAACTGGGTTCTTAAACAATTTGATTGCTGGACTACTATCACACATGATATCTATGCACTCGCTGCTTAGAACACCTAGCTCCTTCAGAATTCCCTTAAGCCAAACACCATGACATGCACTTGCAGTGGCACAGCTACATATCCAGCTTCTATAGATGATAGTGTGACAATTCCCTATTTCCTTAAACTCCAACATATTGCTACTCCATTTAGAAAGAAAATATAGCCTGAAGTGTTTTTCCTGTCATCAATATCTCACACATAATCACTGTCTATGTATCCCAAAAGATTTACATCCTTACTCCATTTGTAATAAACTCCAACATTTAATGTGCCTTTTAAATATCTCAGTACCCTTTTTAGCAATCACCATATGTTCTTCTTTGGGATCAGCCATATAACCAGAAATCAAGCAAACCACAAACATTAAGTTGGGATGAGTTACCGTAAGGTACATTAAGCATCCTATTAGTTGTTTGTACAATGTTGCATCGACACTTTTGCTGCCTGACTTTGACAAGAAGATGCCAGGGACTATCGAAGTCTTTACAGCATTACAATTCAACACATTGAACCTTTCCAATACTTCCTTAACATATTTTTTTTGGCACAAATGAATTCCTCCTTCATTTTGATAAACTTCAACTCCAAGGAAGAACTTCATTTTCCCCAATCGGTCATCTCAAACTCCTATTGCATTAATAACTTGAAACATTTGCACATATTCTCATCATCTCCTGTGTAAATCAAATCATCAACGTACAGGCAAACCAACAACAATTTTCTTCTAATTCTCTTCAAGAACAAGGTGTGATCATAATTACTTTTCTCAAATCCTTCTTTCTTAAAATAACTCTCGATTTTGCTGAACCAAGCCCTTGGTGCTTGTTTCAGGCCGTAGAGAGCTTTCCTCAGTCGATAAACCTTGTTCTCTTCTTTCTTTTTGATAAAACCTCGAGGCCTATCAACATATACCACCTTGTTTAATTCACCGTGTAGAAAAGCACTTTTGACATTAAGTTGATAGATGCACCATCCACATTGAGCTGCTACTGCCACCAAAATTCTGATTGTATCACATCGAGCTACTGGTGCATAAACTTCATTGTAATCTACTCCAGCCTTCTGCAAGTATCCCTTAGTGACGAGTCTCGATTTACATTTGTCTACTTTGTCTTCTTCGTTCAGTTTCATCTGAAAGACCCACTTGACACTGATTTTCTTTACTTGATGCAACAATGTCACAAGCTCCCATGTCTGATTTCTTTCAATAACTTGAATTTCAAGCTTCATAGCCGCCTGCCACTTCTTTTCCTTTATTGCTTCTTCAAAGTTCACAGGATCATCATTGGAGATGTGAAAAGCAAACCCCTCCTCGACTTCTTCTTCTTCAAATAGGTGTTCATTTGTTTCATAATCGTGCATCCAAACTGGTCTCTTCTTTGTCTTGTTTGTTGTGGCAACTCTGGGAAAGATTCATCCATTTCTTGGATTTCTTTAACCTGTCATTTGTTTCTTCATTTGAATCTTCTTCTCCATCAGTCTCTCCTCCTTTCGGTTCTTCTGTAGCAATATTATTATCATCTCCCCCAAGCCAACACATCCTACTCTAGAGTTTTTGTACTTGAATTCCAGTCCCATTTTGCACCTTCTTCAAATATGACATCCCTGCTCACAATTATCTTCTTTGTTGCTGGATCATACAGGCGATAGGCCTTAGATTCATCACTAACTCCAAGTAAAACGCATTTGAGACTTCAATCATCAAGTTTGGTTCTCTTCTGTTCAGAAATATGGACATGTGCAATTGAACCAAATACTCTGAAGTATTCCACATTTGGTTTTATGTCCGACCACTTCTCCTCTGGAACCATGTCCTTGATTGCCTTTGTGTAACTACGATTCAGAACATGAGCTATCAATCTAGCTGCTTCTGGCCACAACTTCTTCGACATCACTTTTTCAGATAAAAGACACCGTACCATGTTCATGATGGTCCAGTTCCTTCTTTCTACAACTCCGTTTTGCTGGGGAGTGTAAGCAGCTGTTAGTTGTCGCTTGATTCCGTTATCTTTGCAAAACTTCTTGAATTCATTTGACGTAAATTCTCCTCCCCGACCAGTTCTGAGCCCACGTATGGTTGTTTTTGCTTCATTTTCAACAAGATTTTTGAAGTTTTTGAATGTTTCAAAAGCTTCTAATTTATCTGCAATATAATAAATTCATGTCTTGTGAGAAAAATCATCTACAAGTACCAGCAAGTACCTTTTACCAGTGTGAGAGGTTGGAGTGATGGGTTCACAAAGATCTCCATGAATCAATTCCAGTTTGTTTGATGCTCTCCATTTGCTTTTCTTTGAAAATTTTGCCGTTGTTGCTTCCCAATATTGCAAACTGTGTAAACTTTGACATCTTCCTTTAATTGGGTAATCCTTCCACCATTTGTTTTTGCTACATGATTTACTATTCAAATGCCCATACCGCTTGTGTCACATAGCCTTCAAGTCTTCATCTTCTATTTTCAAACATTTGTCAACCAATGGCTTCATCTTTGCATGAACTGAGAACATGCGATTTATAGTCATTTGTGTGTTCATTATCAGGCCCCTTTATTGATGATAGATTCTGCAGGTTCCTTCTTTGATTGATCACCAAGCGCTTCTCTTGTAGCTGCCCTATGCTTAGCAAATTGTTGGTGAGATTGGGAACATAGTAGACATATGTCACGGTTTGTGTGATGCATTTAACTTAGAATCTGACACTGCCTCTTCTTTCAACTGCCAACTTTGAGCTATTTCCCAACCTGACAGTGTGTTTGAAACTTTCGTCAAACTCACGAACCATGTTTTGTCCCTTATCATATGATTTCAGCACCCAGAATCGAGAAACCAAATGTCTTCTCTTTCAACTTTATTTTTCTTTAAGTACGCCATTAATAGCAGTTCTTTCTCCTCGTCAAATTCAACATAATTGACAGCTTCTTTTTCTAAGCCCAGACATTCAAATTGGTAATGTTCTTGCTTTCCACATCGAAAACAGTTGATGGTCGACCGGTTCACAAAAGATCTACCTCTTCCCCGTCCTCTAGAGTAACCTCTTCCTCTCTGAAATGTCCCTCTACCTCTTCCTTGTCCATACCTTGGTACATTCTCCACCTGCAAAACTTGCTCTTCACT